TCAATTGATGTTTTTAAATACTTTTGCTCGCGCAAAATTATATGTATGAATAATGCGAATAAATTTTTGGGTAATGCCAGGTCCATGGTCAAGAAAACTGGACAAGGGCCAAAGGTCACGTTGTTTTGTTAAAATAGAAAAGTCAATGAATTTAATAATTATTTGTTTTTTTTTTTTTTTGTTTATTCAAACTGACAGCGCAATGTGAAAATTATTATCTTTTCTTATGCACTTGACAATAAAGATGTTTATACAGATAACCACTTTTTATTACAATCTAGTATCTCTAATTTATCACTCGAAAGAATAAATTAATTAATTGCTTTCTGTTTTTAAAGTCGGGGAATTTAACTTAGTCATTAATCTTAAATGATTTTCAATATAATCAATTTTAATAATTTTCTGTTCGAATAATTTTTTTTATGAGGAATAATTATAATATAATTATTTATATCAAGCATCAGAAAAAAGTAGAGACGTAATAAAAAAGTTTATTTAAATACTATTGTTTATTTATTTGATATCATGTGCTCAGTAGACAAAACAAATTATTGCAACATCATATAGTCAACGAACTAGACTTATGACATCAATTATAATACAAAAACATTAATTTATAATTTAATCAAGTCGATAACTAAATAATAAATCTGAGCTTAAATTTTTGAGCTAATTATTAATCAGAAGTTTACTTAATTAAATTACTGATAATAAATATTTACATATAAAATTGCGTCAATTATTCCAGAACAATTAATGAAAATAAAGTTAGCCGACATTTCATAATTTTTAGAAATTTTTTATTGAAAAAATTTCAATTAAACAATTTAAAAAAAAATTGTCACATGTAAAAAACTTAAAAAACTATAAGTGCATTTTTTTAGAAATATCTTTTTAGTTGTAATTTAATTAGTATAAAAAATCCAAAATTTTTAGACGTCTCCTAACTTCAGTATCATGAACAATTAATGAAAAAAAAAAAGCAAACTTGATTAATATTTTATCATTTATATCATGAATACAAACATCTCTTCCGTAGAAAATAATTTCGAAACCAATAAAATATTAATTATTTTGATAATTTAGCAGAATTATTAAAATTATTCACGTAGCCGTGAATTTTATAACTAATTTAAATGACTCATGGACAATTATAAAATCTGTTTAACCCAAAATTCAACGTAAATGTTTTTTGTTTGAGTATGTAATACAAACATGAAATATAATTTTTTACATATTTTCTTTAGTTCTGTTCGATGAGTCGTCTGCAGTGTAAGCGGTCAAAAGACACTTCCGGTTTGGCATTATTTTATAAAGAGAATTGGCAACGAGCCGAGACATTAGTAATCAGCCTAAAGAGCATTCATTAGATATCTCACTTCTTCAATGTAATTTTTTTTTCTCAAAGTGATATATTATCGATTATTTAGTACTCCAATGTTCGTTTTATTTTTTTTTCTTCACAACAAACCAGACAAGAAATCTTCAGACATAATAAAGTTATGTAATATGAGATTGATAAAAAAATATTTTCAAAATAAAATCTTTTTGTTTGATTTAAATATGAATAAGAGAAAAATAAAAGCTTTGCTAGATAATTGTGTTTACTTGACTTGAATCCAGTTATTGCACAAAAATTAAAACTATAGCAAAAAGTTGAATTTTTAAATGTTGATAATTTGCCAAAATTTGCCTGCAATTTGATTGAAAACAAGTGTGATCTCAGAGTCAATAATAAACTTGAACATTGAATTAAAAAAAAAATTTTTTTTTATTGCTATCTTTCTGAGTTGTAATTTTATTACAAATTATTACAAAGCAATTTACATTTACGCAACGATTAGGTGCAATGTTCATTATCTGTAATACCATTTGTCGTTAATATGTAAAGTTCAATGTCCACTTTTAAAGATTATAGACTACTCATGATTATTACAAAAATTTTTTTTCTTATTTGGGAAATAATTTTCTCTAGTTTTTTTTATTACAAAACAATAGATCTTGTTTTTTTATTTAAAGTGAATATCGAAAATAATTTATTTGAGCAAAAAACATGCCAGTTTTTTTGTAATTACACAAAAAAGAGAAAATTTTTTAATTTAATTCTTACTTAATATGTAAAAATTATAATCTGAAACAGTAATTTTCTCAGTTTTTTCATATGAAGCACTACTCTACAGTATACAATGTAATTTTTGTATTTTCCTTATATATCCTTCGGAAACTTCATATTTTCTGATAAAAAATAGCTATATTGTTATATAATTACACTTTAAACAATTTAAGTATTAGTGTGAAGTTATGTCTTACAGCTATTAAAAAAATACTTAGACGGACACTAATTATAGATAAACAATATAATGTCTTAGACTATGATCTAGTTTTTTTTTATTAGATTGATATAAAATACAATAGAGTGACACGTTTATTAACAGGATGACCAAACGCAACGTGACTCGCTAAACTTTTCTTGTAAAACACGCTTCCATATACGTAAAACATTTATGACTCAATCAGGTTAAGAGGTATCACGTAATAAATTTAATCTTTTTTTGCAAATTCTCGTATACATTATATTAAAACTTTAACACGAATAAATTCTAAAAAAAAATAAACGTAAAGTATTTTTTTTTGTTTTTAGCAATTTTATTTTTACTGAGATTAGCAGATATTTGACAATGTTTGTACAAAAAAAATTTCTTTGCAAAAATTATATTTATCGTTTTTTTTTTTAATTTCTACAGGTGGAAAAAAAATTTTATAACAATTTATTTGTGTAAAAAAACCTGAAAATTGTCGAATGTTTGTTAAAGCTTAAAAATTTTCAAATACGCTCTTAATTAAAATTTTCTAAAAATTTAAGTTACTGTTAAAAAAATAAAAACTATCAAAGTTCTAGTTTTTAACAATTTTAATGAAAATTAAGTTAGCCGACATTGAAAAATTTTTGATTTTTTTTTAAAATTAAATATTAGAACTAAAAAACTATTTTTAAAAAATTCCACGGATAATTTTTAAAATTTTCTACATGTGACAATTTTTGTTTTAATTTTTTAAAAATTATTTTTCAATAAAAAAAAAATTTCCTAAAATTCTTAGATGTCGGCTAATTTAATTTTCATCAATTTTATCTATGAGACCTTTCAAAAAATTTTTAACAATTTACATACTTATAATTTTTATTACAAAAGACTTTTTGGTCTTCCACGGACTACATCAGGAGCTTTAATTAGAAGTGAGCTGGGGATAACCCACCTATCATACAAAATATTAAATGCAGCATGGAATTGGATTATAAGAGTCTTAGAAATGGAAGAAGACCGCCTACCGAAAGCCTGCCTTAAACGACAGTCTAGACTCTTCATCGATGGCAACTGCCATAGCAAATATAACTGGCTCGCAAGTCTACTCAACGTTGTTAAGACCATAACACCGGAATTACTGCCTGACTTAAACACCCTCAACCCCAGAACCTGGACAGCACACAAAACAACTTTTTTTGATAAGTACAAAGCACATTTAATGCAAACTGATGAACACCTGCATGAAAATGCGCACTACTTACAAAATCCGCCATCTAACACGGCGAAAAGCTATTTAAATGAAAGAATCGCCTTTCAAGCAATAAAACTCTAAAAAAAAAAAAAAAAAAAAAAAAAAAAAAAAAAAAAAAATTTTTTTTTTTTTTTTTTTTTTTTTTTTTTTTGTTTTGGATTCCTTTCATGTAAACTACTAAATTTTAATTTATATATTTATGTATTAACTGTATACCCCCTTGCTATGGGTTAAATGTACCTGAAGAGCAATAAATAATCTTAATCTTACTTATAATTTTTATTCAAATAAAAAAAAAACAATTGTTCAAAATTGCAAAAAAATTGCATTTTTTAATTTAAAATTAAAGTTAAACAACAAAAAACATTAATTATTATTATACCATGAGAAAAATAAAAAGTGTACTAAAGAATAATTTTTTTTACTTTCAGATTTAAAAAATCCAAAAGTGAAAATTTCGCGCCACGTGCGTTGATTGATCACGTGGTACGCCATCTTATCGACCGAACAGTCAGAACAAGCTGTCATTGGATTTCCCAGCAAGATCACGTGATCTATTAACTGACGTTCGTCCCCACTAGTCGTTTTATCGCGTACTATCTGGTGCAATCTAGTGTACGAGGAATGAGGATTGTCAGTGTGTACAGATATAATACTGAGTGAATATATATGTATAATTGTGAGCGGGTGCTGTACTGGCTCCGGAACTGGGGAAAGTTACAGTAACAAACAAGCACGAGCAGGCAAAAGCTATCACAGCCTGGCCAAGACCCTTGAGGTCTTATGGATTAAGAGAACAAAGGATTTACAACGCCAAGTTTTTGTTAACGTTTACCGGAGTAATTATTCGATCATAATTGTCACCTGTCACAATTGTGCCCGTCTTATTGTAATTTTAATTATTTATATATATATATTTATTTGATTTAATAATAATTAAAATATAAGTTCAAGTAAAACTATTTAATCAATTGAACATAAACACAATAATCATTTGTTTCATTTTTTTTTAATATCAGTGTTATCAGTTATATAAATATATATAGTTACACCTGTGATTTAAATTTGACAGTTTTTTTTTTTTTTTGTTAAATCTATATATTTACATATTTTGTATTTCTCGGAAATGCATGACGACAAATCAATACATACATCAGCTTTGCTTAAGTGAAACAACGTTGAAGTGGACTTTGAATCGAGTTTATAATAAATATTATTGTTTTACGAAATACACATAAGATTAATTGTTTTTATAAAATTTATTCTTTAATAATTGAATGTCTTATAATAAGTAAATAAGTATCATTGTGATGATTAGATAAATGAGACATGAGTTATTTTTTTTTTTAATTATTGTCCGATATTTAATTGTTGTAAACAGAACAAAGATTTAAATAATAGATTGATAATTAACAACGATTGGTTAAATAGAAGAGGCATATAAAATGTACAGCATGAACTACATTGGCAAGTTCATTAGCAACTTTCGTGATTTTTACAATGAAATTAATGCGGCTACTCTTACTGGAGCTATTGATGTAATTGTCGTTGAGCAAGATGATGGATCATTCACTTGCTCGCCTTTTCACGTCAGATTCGGCAAACTTGGAGTTTTGAGATCGCGAGAAAAAGTGGTGGGTATTACATTATAATTTATCGTAATTAAAAAATTTGAAATTTATTTTTAAATATTTGATATTCATTTATCAATTATTAGTTACTTAATCCAATTGTTTCTGTACTTTATTCAGTTATGAATTATTTACATTCAAGTTACGTCCATCATGAATAATAAATCAATATCGCTAAGAATTTTATCATTAATTAACTTTTTAACGTGTGATAATTAATTTGTCAAATGACGTTTTAAATTTTGTTTCCGTGATAGAAATTTGTGGAGTAATATTGAATAGTAATTTTATAATGTACAATATTAATCAGGAAAAATTGAACTGTTATCTATCAATGTCATTAAATTATAAGTACAATAAAAATATTTACTTAAAAATAAATTTACTGTTTTTGATGGGAGGAAAAAATTTATTCAGTCAATAATCATAAAAATTTTTATTGGATTAAAATAAGCGACATAATATTAAATTTATATTACGATTAATAATAATAAAATTTTCAGGTGGATATAGAAATAAATGGAGATCCAAGACAAATTCAGATGAAATTGGGTGATTCTGGAGAAGCTTTTTTCGTCGAAGAAGTAAGCTCACATGGTCTTGAAAATGGCACTGAAATACCACCACACCTTGCTTGTTCACCCATACCAGATGACAATTGCTTTCCACCTCCTAGGTATGTAAAGGAGTTATTAATATCTATTGATATTAAAGTGATAATTTAATAATATTTTTTAATTGTTTATTGTTGACAGATTTCATTTATTATCTGATTTACCTCAAGAGCAGCATGAAAAGATACTACGCGATTCAGTGCTGTCGATAGAACGTGAAAAGTTGGAGCAGATGTCTTCGTTGCCAGTAGATCAACGTGAAAAATTTTTAATTGAACAATTTTCGGATTTACCTGCTGAACATCGAGAAAAATGGCTGCAAATAGCTTCGATGACATACGAAGAGCGCAGTAAAATATTTGAAGAAAGTTTGAGCGCAATGTCAACTCGACAGAAACAGCAAATGATACGTGATGAATATTCGGCGTTGAAGATAGAAGATAGAGAACGGTTGTTTAAAGAAAATTTTCCGGAACTGCCAGCTGAGCAGAGACCAAAGTTCGAGAAAGCATTGTTGAATGATTGGAAAAGTAAAGAGGATGACTATGAAAATGAAGAAAAATGGAAAGGTCACGATAAAATTTCGCTACAAGCTGAGGAAGAAATTTTTGATATGGATAACATCAATGAAGATGAAACTAAACCTGTGTCAACACCAAAATCTTTCGTCGCTGTTACTTCAACGGAGAGAATAAGAAAAATAAGCGTTGTTAATAATGATTTTAGACCTATTACCGATGATCCGTCAAGTGATGCTAGAGAAAAAACTTCACGTGATGAATCTAGTACTGTGGAAAAAAAATCTCATGTTGAAGGAATCACAGATGAAGTAAAAGTTCAAACTTCATCGTCATCTAAACGTAAAAGGAGAAAGAAGAGTCTTATGAAGAAAAAAGGAGCTCAAAGAAAAGCAAGCAATGGAAGTAGCAGTCAAACAGAAGTCAGTGAGACTGAGACAGCTCCACCAACTGAAGAGTCACCTAATGAACCAGTAAATACTTTTTTTATATTTCTATAAAAATATTAATACTTTTATTATTTAATAAAATTTTAATTTAAAAATATTATTTCAGGTATTAAAGAACTCCAGTCCAATTATTGAAAGTGAAACCAAAACTACTGAAGAATTACCACCACCATCGGATTATCATTTCTTCAGTGACACTGAAATTACTAAGTAAGATTAATATTACTATTTATTATTTTTTCGTAGTTATCTCAATTTTTATGAGTAAAGTATGTTACACTTGACAATGAGACAATTCATCATATTTACATAATAATCTATCATAACACTTGACTCCGAATACCGTAGCATTTTTTTTGTTGTAAAATTGAATGTTCTTTTTTTTTACTTTTTACCTTAAAAGGAACCGGGATTCCAGGCCTTGCTCACCCGTTCAATCTGACACGGAATTTGAGATGCGTAAAATTGAACAGCAACGTGAAGAAGGTAAAGAACGCGAAGATGACAAGAGCCATCAGCAGAGTTGGAGATGGGGTGAATTACCAAGTCCACCAATTGATACGCCTCATGCTCTTAACTCTGTTACAACTGTTATTCAACCAAATGACGGTAAGTAATCCAAAAATATGTATTAATACCACTTTTAACCACAAAACTTGAAATTTTAATTAATTCATTATCATTAATACAACCGTTAATAACAAAAAAAAATAATAAATTAAATAAAAACACTTAATAATAATACATTATCACAAATTGCTTATTACACTTTCTTCCACTAACCGTATTTGCTAACGGCTTTTCCAATGGTAGCAGAGGCACAACGTTCTATGCTCAGTGGTATGTTCTCCTTCATGAAGAAGACATCGCGCGTAAGACACAATCCAGAATCAGAGGGCATTTACCTGAGTGATTTGAATGCAGATGAATTGGATCCTGAAGTAGCTGCCCTTTATTTTCCCTCTTCCCATCGCGGAACTACCGTGGCGAAAGGTATACCATTTATCGCTTATACTCTGCACTACTATATTCTATTGTCATTTTTTTATTATTTACTTTGTTTTATTATTCTAATTACATTCATCGCAATTCATTATTACATAATTTATTATCTTATGGTGATAGTTGACTAAAAAACATTAATCCTCACCCATTTTTTTTTTTTTTTTTTTTCTAATTGTATATTAAAAAAAAAGTTTATGCATAAGATTTTACGAGTTTTGTGGAAGTCAAATGAATTTGAAAAGTATTTAAACAAAGAAGTTATAGAACATACAATGTGTCTATTACAGGAGATAAACAAGCTGACGAAGAAGATACTGAATCTGGTAATGGCCCAAGCTTACCCCAGAGTCCTAACAGCGTAGAGGGTGCTATTGGAGGCCCAAAATCACTGGACAGTGATTTTGAAGAATCTAAACAATCATTGTTTGAAAATAATATTGATATAAGTTTATCATTATGTGGTGGCTTGGACACTGATGACGGTCCAAGTGATGAATTATTTCAACAGAATTTACTTCAATACGACGATCTTTGTAATGATACTAAATTATACGAAAATCAAAATTTAGTAATTAAAATAAATGGTAAATATTATAATTGGACAACAGCTTGTCCAATTATTATTTCACTGGCTGCTTTTCAACGTGGCTTACCACAACATACCATTGAAAATTTATACGCGCAATATGGCTCACTGCCGATGCACCAAGACAATAAGAAAGAAGCTGCCAGTAAAACAAACGAAACAAGAACCGGTTATAGTTCATGGTTCTCGTGGAGGCGTTCATCGTCACAGCCGCCTAAAAAACTTTCCGAAACCGTTGACCAAGACGGAGAGTCGATCCCGATAGAAAACAGTCAACCTACTGAATTATTAGAGCCTGCAATTGATGTCGAAGAAATTGACTCGCCATCTAAAACGTAATATATCTTTAAATTTTTTTTTTTTAAGATTTATGGTTGATAATAAAATTAAATCTTAATATCTAAATAGAATATCTAGATTTAATCTAAATATTGTCTGTTTATTTTTTTTTTAATTTTATTTTAATGTTTGTTCTTAATTTTTAGTCTAGAAAAAGAAGAAGAAGAAGAAGAAGAAGAAGAAGAAGAAGAAGAACAGGTGATTGGAGAATTAAATGATGTAGAGAATGATTCATTAGGCAAGCCCGAAGAAAATAATGTGGTTCAGTCATCAGTTGAGCGAGCTAATGAAAAACCGGAAGGCGAAGGGTACAGCGGAAGTGAAGACTCAGATAGCAATCCAAACGAGACTCAAGGAGTTAGAATACCAGAACGACGAAGACCGTACTATGAATCTGGTGAAAAGTATCGCAAAACATTGAGACTTACATCTGAACAAATAGAAAGCTTGAATCTTAAAGAAGGACCTAATGAAGTTGTATTTAGTGTTACCACGGCTTATCAAGGTACATCACGTTGTAAGTGTCACATTTATCGATGGAAATGGAATGATAAAATAGTAATATCTGACATCGATGGAACTATTACAAAGTCTGATGTATTAGGACACATTCTGCCGATTGTAGGAAAAGACTGGGCCCAATCGGGTGTTGCTCAACTTTTTACTAAGATTAAAAATAACGGTTATAAGTTATTGTATTTATCAGCGCGTGCTATTGGTCAAGCGCGTGGTACAAGACAGTATTTGAAAAGTATAAAACAGGATGATCTTTCACTTCCCGAAGGACCTCTACTTTTGAATCCCACCAGTCTTTTATCTGCATTCCATCGGGAAGTTATTGAGAAAAAACCCGAGCAGTTTAAAATATCTTGTCTCAGTGATATTCAGGCGCTATTTCCTGAAGGTTCTAATCCGTTTTACGCTGGATATGGCAATCGAATAAATGTAAGTATTTTTTAAATTTACATTTTAACAATTTATCCAATAAATTTATTAAATTAATAATTTTTTTAAAGGATGTGTGGGCTTATAGAGCTGTTGGTATTCCAATTACACGAATTTTTACAATTAATCATCGTGGAGAGTTGAAGCATGAGTTGACTCAGACATTCCAGTCATCGTAAGTATTTTATTATCACGATAATTTTTTTTTTTATTATAATATAACACTAAATAGTACAATTATAACACTAAAATAATTTACAAACTTAATCAATTACTAACTCTCACTAATAATAAGCACGCATTTTACTAATATATTTTTTTACCTAGTATTATTTTTAATAGTATTGGAATGTTCAAAAAATAATCATAGCGAATGAATTACTAGCAAACTGACAGTATTAATAATCTCGAAAAGTAACTTCGAGGATAAAACAAAAACCCAACAACTAAAAATGGGACAAATACGATAGGCATCTAAGGGATATCCTATCGGTGTAATTAATTAAAAAAGTTAAACAGGATTATTTGACAGGGAAAAATATTTATATGATTGCAGCTATGCGTGTCAGAGTGATAGCGTCAATGATTTGTTCCCACCTCTACCCAGGGCAACCATTCACTGATGACAACACAACCATAGACAATTTTTTTTTTTTACTTTTTTTAGACTATTAATTATTTATTCTACTGAATTACGTGCAAATATTTATCACGGTGATTTTATTAGTATTATTATTTAAATAATATATCTAACTATACTTCATACAGAATATGATTTATTTTCTGAATAACAAAAAAAAACGATCCGCGTTTTAAATATAGCTTTTTAGCTTGCATATACGGTATTTGGTTGTCCATCAACTTCTTCTTATTATTTATAGGGTAAGCACCTAATGAATTTAGCTCCGTTTAATCGTTATCAATGCTTATTTATAATTCTCATTGCGTTATCCTGTATATATTATCACAACAACATTTTTATTTTATTCTCCAATAATATCATCAACTAAGGTTGGCTTGCGTCATAGGGTATGCTTTGGGTGAACAATTTTGCTCTAAATGCTTAGCTGACTAATTCATTCATTGAATATTTCTCCTTCACAGATAAATCTCCGATTCTAACATTAACATTTTTATGTACTCATATTTTCTAATTTTTATTTTAAGTATAGACATTGACCAAATTTTTAACTTAAAAAAAATTTTTTTTATCTCCTGATAAATACAAATTTATTTTTTTTAATTGAATTTAAAAAAATTCAACAACTAATAGCATTAAAAATTGTTTGACTTTGTAAATTGATTTCTATTTAACAAAAAAATGATAAATTATAACTAATCTATCAATGACACATTCATTTTGGTCATCGCAATAATTTTATCAAGCCTAAATTGATATCTTATATCAGTCGACAAAAAATTCATCAAACCAATAATAAAAATATATAAGATAATAAAACGAGATACTGATTATTATGAATTAATGTTTCAGATACTCAAATATGAGTTACATTGTGGATCATTTATTCCCAGCATTGAGAGAAGATGCTTCTGATGAATTTAGTCATTTTTCATATTGGCGAGATCCAATTCCAGAATTGCCAAATCTCAATGAATTACTTATTGAAAATCAACCTTCTCAATAAGGATAAATATTTTATATTTACTACATTACTATTTATTTTGCATACACTAAATAACTATTCATATAAAAGGAAATGAAAAGAAAACTAAAGCCTTGATCGTTAACTTTTTTACTACATAGTCGCAACGATGATAAAATGCATAAATAACTAAAGAAAATTGAAAAAAAAAAAAAAAAAATACATTCTCACCAGTACTTATTTATCGCTTTCCTGTTAATTATATTATTATATACTAATAAACATGATATAAATGCAAGCTTTGACAAAAAAAGTATGACTAGATATTTTCAATGAATATATAGCATTCCAATTACTAATAATACGTAAATTATTTTATTATACGTCGATATTTATGATTGGGAGTATTTTGAATCACAAATTTGTATGTTCTAAAATGATGATACGAATACATAACTGAAAAAATATCTATATAATTATTTATAGGTCTATGCCTACAAATGGAGTTGTTTTAACTAACATAAATGATGAAAACAATAACAATAAATAATTTGAAGAAAATAGTTTCAGGGAATTTTCTAGTCTTGAATGTAAAACTAATCGATAAGCTTAGAATTCATTTAATCATTGTATAATTATGTATAACATACAGTGAAAATTTACTCACGGTATCATTCTTTATGACTAGCAAATAATAGATGATTTTTTTTATTTTTTCGTATCATTCAAAATATAGTTATTTTTCAATTTAGTTGGTGTGATTCAGTAGGTATTGAAATTAGAGAAAAAGAAAAGTAAACTGCAAATCTAATTTTTCCATGTGATATTTCAAAGTGAATTGTAAAAGTTAAGAGTTTTCTTTATTTCCACGTAGAATGTAAAGCAGAAAAAAATTATATTTAAATTATTTAGATAGATTGATAACAAAAAAAAAAAATATTTTTTTATTTCACAATTTTGCAATTGTATTTTTCATTGACAATTATTAAGAATACAATTACAAAAAGTCTGAATAGTATGTTTTATAATACATATTTATTTACATTTGTATTATGTATCATTCGTTTTTTTCTTTTTGTCGATAAAGTTTTCCATGCAATGAACAAATATCGAAAATAATCAAGTTGCAGTGCGATTTAAAAAAACCAAAGACTTGATAAAAAAAAAAACAAAAATGAAAAAATGATGCGTAATGAATGATTGTAACGGAAAGAACAGCTGGTAGTTAAAATTTATGTTGTACATATTATAAATTTAGTTAAAAAATAGTAATTTTGTCTACATTGTAGGTTTATTTAATTTAGTTTTATTAATAAATTAAGTTTTTCATTTATTAAAGATTGTAATTTACGTTGGTTTATATTTTTTGTAGTCATTTAATTTATTATACATTCTCGAGTCAATTAAATTTTGAATATCTATGAACAAAGTGTCTAAGGAATGACCTACAATAAAATGATCTCAGCTAGCACGCTTACTTGGCTTATTCTTCATAAATTGATTGATTGATTAACCACTAGTTTAAAAGATCAAATTATAATTATGTCACTTTTTAGTTAATTTATTACTTGAGCCTCAAATGCTATCTGTGTAACTTGTAGCCAATTCATTAAATGAAATGACGATTAAATGCGTAGCAATTGAGTTGATTTCTTATTTATTGCATGCTCCCATCAAATTTAATTTAATATAAAATAAATCGATCCTTTTGATAAATATTATTTTTTAACTTTTGGACGCCCACGTTTTTTTGGTCGATTTTTAATTATTTCTTCACCGTCAGATATATCTATAGAGTCAATAGATGTAGCACTTCTGGGTCTCTCCGTATTTAAATACGACGCAAGCTTTGGATGTCCATGTGGATGTACAGGAATTTCTGATAGCCAGTTGTAACCTAACTAAAATTTTATTTTTTTAGATTGTCAACTATATGAATGCTGAGTTATATATATATATATATAATTGAATTTAATCATAAAAAATAAATACTGAAATTCTTACCCATAGAAGAATAAAGATTGTAAATATTATAAAGGCAATTGGTAAAGCCATATTAAGTTCAGTCACAAAATTTTAATAAAAAACATCCAAAAATTAATAAAATTTAATAATTTAATTTAGCAAACAGATTTAAATTAGCAATCTTGTTTGTTTAGTGATTTCATTTGTCTCAACGCTCGTTTTTTTTTCTTTTTTAAATTTATAAATTAATATTTTAGGAGAAAAACACATTCGAAAAAATTTTCATATATAATAAAAAAAATTGTATTTTATTTATAAAATAATAACAAAATATTTTACGTCTCATCAACAATTTCTGTTTCCATATTTTCAATATTTTCGTTATCGTCAGCAGCCTTGATTTTTTGGTATCCCTTCTTTTTGGAGTAAAAACCAAGTGGGATTAATTTAAATGTTGCCAATTGCATACTAAACAGTTTCTGAAAAAATTAATTAATTAATTAAATAAATATTTATCATGATTGAATTATTAAATTAAAAATGATAGTAATCAATAAATTCTTACTAGTATTTTGGCTTGTTCTGGAGTAAGTGGAAATCCCTTTTTACAAACTTCATAATCTTTGATTAATGTAACAACCCCTTTTTTAAGAGCCGTTGGCATACCAAGTTGTCTTAGATGAGGTTCAATGGCATGTGAAAAATCAGGTAAAGGTCCTTCGGGTAATACTATTGTTTCAGGAACAATAAATCCAGCTCTAGCGTACTCAACTTCTGAGTATTTATCCATCCAATCCAACACCTAAACAAAAATTTATTTATTTTATAGAACTCAAGTTAATTTTTTAAAAACAGGACAAATAATTATAGATTTAAAAAAAAATTAAACCAAATATTAATAATTGTTTGAGATAATAAATTTACCTGACGTTTAGATTTATTTGTAAACAATAAACCACACTGTCCATGTAAATTATTAGCCAGTTTATGAATACCATCAGCAATCTCTTCCGCTGGTGTTTTTCCCATACCAATAGCAATAATTTTATTTTTACCAAAGAAAAAACGACTGTCCACCCATTCTTCTCTTAAATTCTTCAGCTTATTATTGCGCATATTACGGACAGCAAATACACATATGCGGTCGTATTTTTCCACGCAATTTCTCACATCATCGATAATGTGATCTTTTAATGCTTTGCCCTTTTTGCTAGTTTTCGTAAGAGAAACTGTAATAAACAATTAATAAATTTATAAATATCTATTAGTGGATATAGGTTAGTTTTTAAATATTCTAAATTAAAACCCAAATAATAATTTTTTTTAAATAAAAAAATTGTCACTTACTTTTCTTATCTCTTTTTGATTTCGGCATTTTTAATTATTTTTCAAAACTATTTAAATACACTAATTTACAAATATAATTTTATGAGCTCGGATTTATAGACCATGTGGTGACCTCAAATTTCTCAAGATTAGTTTATAAGAAAAGGCGCTACAGTATAATACCTTAAACATCAAGATGGCGCTGTTTTAATTTTACAACACACAACAATAATAATAGTAGTTAGAGTAAGTTAAGTTTTAACTATCAATTAAATAAAAATTTATCTTACAAATATGTAAATAATTTTATACAAATAATATAATAATTATAATTGAGTAAAATAATACGGATAAATGAAATAAAAATTGTTATTTAAAAATAAGAGCGGGAAATTTAAAATAAACGGAAACGCATAAAATTAATAACATGCGCAGTTAAAGATGGCGATTTCCTTGGTCGCAAAGCACCATCATCAGTGCACTGTGTAAAACTATAGTGTTAACAGGAGCCGTTGTAATACACTAAAGCATCGAGATTTTCCAGACCGCTAACTGCATCCGTTATTAGGTGAGTTTTTAAAATAATTATAAAATTATAAGTGATAAATTATTGATAAGTATGGAATAATATTAAGTGACAAATATCAAGCGTTAAATAATAAATTTTAATTTATTGTTCATGCGATATGTACGTTTTATAAATTATGTGAAATTGTCGAGACAGCCGAGTGAACCCCGTAGCCATTAAATCTGCCGACGTTACTGTCCCCACGATCTAGTCGCGTCAGTTTGTCTAAAAACGCCCTTTAAGGCCATACAAGGTAATATTTATAATTTTTTATATTATTAAATACTGATTACCTACATCTCTATATATTTTACAATAACCTAAAAATAGTTATTACCTATCGGTCATTAATGAAAAAGAAAAAAAGAATTTCAGTTTTTTTTTTTTTTTTTTTTAATTCCAGTCATGCGATATGAATGCGGCTCGTATGCGAATGACGCACGTTACATTAGAGTAAGAAAACAAGATATAGAGATTGTTAAACGACAAAGACATCCGGACATTTTTTGATCTTTTATCTTTTTTCAATTTGCTATCTCTGTTGCTCTTTTTTACTCACTCGACATACTACGGCTGCCATCTTGTTTTGCACGCCGGCGAATTCCAAGACTTTCTCACTGGCTATTTACGGGAAATAAAATTCTTCTGTACATTTATAGTTACTGAGTAACAGTAAGTTTAATAAATTATTAAGATATTTATTATAAAAATTTCTATTGACGAGTAACATTTTTTTAGTTTACATAGTTGTTAGATGACGTTATTGGAAACGCACTTGAGGGGAGTGCCCTTGCGCCATATTGCTTTACTCACCGGCGACGATTAATTATTTTATATCATTTAAAAAAAAAAAAAAAAAAAAATAAACGAACAACAAGCTAACTACAAATTCCATTATATCAACTGGTACTAATTTCACAATTTCCATGAAATTACCATGTAGAAATTTTTCATTAGAATTACTATGAATAATTTCTTGTTCTGTCATTCCACCTACACAATTCTTTTTTCATCTCCTTTTATGGCGTATAGACTATTCAATGTCATAATTTTTTTGATTTTGTATTTTTAATACAAAAAGTGCGTATGTATATTTTTTTTTTTTTTTTACATACATTAAATATACTTTTTTATATTATATCTTTCGGTCGCTCATGACTGGACTCTTATCAAATGATTATATAAAAAAAATTACGCCTCTGTCTCGGCAGGTTTACTGTCATTTGAATGTGCCGGATGAACGTGCTATGATGTGCGCTGAATTCTCAACAATAAAAAATTCAGCTTTCAATTACCGCCTTATAAAGTATAAATTAATGTATTAAATCATACATGCTCGTACAGTGAGGATTGAATGAGTATGTATGTGTACTAAATGGTCGAAGTACGCTGCACAAAATAATTATGACAATGGGTGATGATTATGAGAACAGATATTTTTGGCCATAAATTTTTTATGTTAAAACTTGTTAGACGCATAGACAGCTCAGGGTCTTTTAGTCTTCCACTTGACGTCGTGATAAAAGATAGACCAGAGTAATGTAATTTTTTTCTCGTGACCGAGCAGGAGCCTTTGATAAACCAAGCAACGCTGTGTGATCGATATACGAGCTTACCACCAGCCCACGCCTTTCTCTCCTCTACCATTATGTTATTTAATATCAACTAATATACTGTTTTGTTCATTAATACCGAAAGCTTAATGTATTTTTTAATATTTTATCTCACATTACAATTATTTATCTATTCATTCATTCATTAATTAATCTTATAACTCCAACAGTCATTAGTTAAAGACTTGTTTTATAATTATTCAGCTACCGCACCACTTAAAACACTTGAATTTCCATTTTAATTGTTCTCAAATTAATTACTAAGACTTTCCAACAATCTATTAATTATCGCCGACTGAAGAATCATTTTTTGATTTCAAGTACTTTCCATGATTAAAAAAAAACTTGAGACATTTATCAAGGAAATATCAAACTTTAATTAATGATAATTATTTTTATTATTTAATTATTTTGTCTGATGTAGTTCTCTTTTTCTATTATCTTTTGGCCCGGTGCAATTTTAAAGCCCTAGATTTTTATTTTTTGATTGATTACTTTTGCTTCCTTCCAATCTTCTCGGTCAATCAATGTTCTTATTATTATTATTTTCATATTTATACACCAGAAAAATCTATTTTCTAAATTTATACTGCTCAAACAATCTACCCCTCGCAACAAAACTAATATTGTAACGTTAAATATTATAAGTGGATAATAATGAGTTTATTAAAAATAAAAAAATAAAAGCAATGCCACTGCTTATAAATAAACGGCAAAAGATATTAAAAAAATTTTTTTTTTTTAGTTTTTGGAGAAATAAGAGCATCGAACTAGACATTTATTAAAGATCTTCTCTATAGTTCTCTTGTATCTCTTAAACTATCGTGATCAAGTCGACCCACATCTTTATATTTCATGAAGAGTGAGTAATAAGTACAGAGGGAACTATCAAGACTTTGTGTGTTGCTAGACAATGGGCCAACACGTGACAATAAGTTGACACCCTCTTAAAGCCCTTCATCTTATAAAATTTATGCTCTTTTTATTTTTTTTAAAGAAAATATTTACTAAAAAATGATAGTTATGCCATCAAATCAATTTTAATAAATATTTACTCTCTAAATCTATTATTTAAAGTTGAAACCAATTTTATATTGATTAAACATCAGCTCAAATAGAAAAAAATCAATCCTTGATAAAACAAGTAATTTATATTTATATTTTTCTTTTCGTGACCTATTATTCTCAATCTAACGGTAAATCAGCTTCCAGGCAGCTTACTTTTGCTTTTATTTCCTTTATACTACAGATTACTCTTTTTATTATTATTATTATTTAACCGTAATCTTCGTACTCTTTCTCTCTACGTCAGCTATTAAACTTTTAAAATCACCTATTTAAATATTTTATAAACAGTAACCAAAATCTAGTTTACTCAATTTTTTATTTCTTCTTTAAACAATGTCTTTTCTTTTTCTTATAATTGCAGTAAATCAGGTCAAACTATGTATATAAATATAGTCTACAGCCATATTTAGTATTTAAAACATAAAATTTTTTTCAGTCTCCAGTAGTGACTCTTTATTGTAATCACAGAATTTCTAAACTTTCTGACCATAAAAACTTTTCATTACTCAGAAAAAAATATTAACATCCATAACTTTAGTATCTCATAAAGTACAACAGAAAAAAAAATTTGTCTTTTATTCCAGCGGTCTAGTTAAAAAAAATTATGTCGATCCTGCAGTCTGTTATTTTTGGCTTTGGAAATATTAAAAGACTAACTTTGTTTTTAATTCTATCATTAATATAATTAAAAAAAAAAATTTATCGCCATTAAAAGTTAGTATTAAAATAATTTTATCTTTCAAATTTCAAAATTATTATTGCAATAAAAAAACTAATAGCTCAATTATAATTTTTACAGCCGAAAATACAAACGACCGCACCTGCATTAAAAAGCTAATTGTACATGAAAGAAACCATTAAATCATACCGGAAAAATGAAATTGTACGTAGATATTATCAATTAATGATAAAAACTATAAATTGAAGTTATTATTCACTTCAAAAAACAAGTGACAAATAATTGTTGATGCAATTAAATAATGTTAACATAATGATAGAGAAAAAAAAGAGGATAAAACTTACGTAGAGCTCATCGCTTATACCCAAAAGTATTAGACACGCGATACACTTCAGAGGTTCTCAGTCTTTTTCTATTTACGTCTCGCTTTCTTCCTCATGTCTCGCGATTGACCGCGTGACTCAGTCATGACGACGTACGTCACGTATTAGTGTTATATGGAATAGAAGTGTAGAGAGTACTGGAGTTAAGTACTACATATGTAGTATAGTACACTTTAGTGAGCTGCGTAGTCTCTGCTCTCTATATATACATATATATACATTTACGGACACGTCATCCTTAGCATTATGTACCAGAGACCCACGCCCCTGCACTCATTAAAATCCCCTCGTTTTCGCTGCACTCGTGTGGTTTCCAAATTTTCAACAAAGGGGAAAAAGTTTACTTGTTTCTAATGTAAAACAGAACTCCAAGTTTCATAATTATTACATTTTTCATTCCACTGTTAATGTATTTTATAAATGACTCATTATTCAATAGTATTAAATGTAATAAATTTAAACATAGTACAGCTTAAATAAATTTATTTATTGTAAGCTTGACATCACATGCTATTCCAAGCCGAATGACGCACCAAGAGTTCACTTACGTTACGTCCTGTTAAAGCTAAATGTCTGTTTCTAGTCATTGATTACCTATTTAAATTTTTTTATTTTATTTTATCCTGTTCAATTTCAAAATAATGAAAAATTATTTACTTTAGACAATATAAAATTTATTTCCAAGGGTAAAAATTTTTTTGACATTGAATGTCAAGGTTGTTTTTAAAAAAATTCTTT